TTGACCTCCCTGCTCTGGTCAAAGTCTGTACAGGCGGTCTAATCCAAGCAGCAGAAACAAGCAGAAGTTCCCTCCCCCACCTTCCCATCCACACACAAGTACACACATAGGTCCATGCACATACTTGCTCTGCTGTGCCCATACACCCGAGTGTGCATGTGTGTGCACTCTCGCACACAGACATACACAAACTCACAGCCTCTCCCATCCATCCTTCACCCCCAAAAAGGAGGCCAGTGTCTTCAGCCCAGCAAAGCCACCTGCAGTCAGCAAAGCCACCAGGACCAGCCTGTGTTGCCCTCTGCTTGCGCGTGGACTTGTGCATTTCCTGACTCCACCCAGCCCGAAACGGCTAAAATATCACCGTGGGCTGGCAGCCCACACACCAGAGCCAGCTCTCGTTGTCACCTGGCCTCCTGGTAACTCTAGCCAGAACCCCTGGGGTGGAGGGACCCGCAGAGAACCCATGTATTTATAAAACCCATGGACAATCACGTGTATATACACTGCTAAGGAGTCGAAAGGCAAAGAATTGTCAGCAGTGGGTGATTTCATTTTAGGCATTTTACTCTCTGTTAAGTTATTTAAATGTTCAATTATGTTGTTTAAGTGGACATAGATGTTTGCACGGGAATTTGAAAATCGGCAGCGATATCGCTGACCGAAGAGGGCTGGTCATTTGAGCAGGCGCAGAAGCAGGAGTCCAAGTCAGAAAAATTCTAGAAGCTGCTGCCTGCTCACACTTTATTGAGTCTGGAGGCTGGGAGAGGTCAGCAAAGGCCTGAGGCTCAGGCTGCCTGGCTGGCCGCTCTGTGGGGTGGCCCTGACTCCAGGCCTTGTGCCCCACTGTTGCTGGGCAGGTCCTTCACATTCTATTTTATGTTTCTGCTTGTACCAACAATATATGCTTACTATTAAAGAATTCAAGGAATATATAAAAATCACAAAAAAAGAAGATAAAAGTCACAAGAAGTCCTATCATGAAGAGTCACATTAAGTCCTGAGATAAACAATATTCACACCTTAAGAAATATCTTTTTGGGGCACTGCTTTGCATTAATGCCCACCCACCCACACGGTTATTTTAACTTCCTATTTATTTGATGGCGAACCTCTCACCTCCCTTTTCTGTGTCTACCATGCCCCCCCCCACCACCAATAACCAAAGTAAACAACTTGGTGTGCTCCTCCCAAACCTCCCTTCACATAACATACTGATAAAGACACACACGCATGCCTGTTTTTCTCACTCTTCAGAATTTCTAAATATGGCATAATGTCACATACTTTGCCTCCTGCTTCTCTCACGTAATGGCGTGTTGTAGAAAATCCTCTTAGCCTCACTGGTAAAGACCTAGCACATTTTTAAAAATAGTTGTGTAATATTTTAGAGACTTTTAGAGTGTGGATTTATTCACAATTCTCCAAATGGTGATCAATTACAAAGCTTGTTTTTGTTTTTTGCTGCTTCGACTTTCACTGAAATTAACGTTTTGATATTTCATATATTTCTATATAATGATGCTTTATTAGTCTGTGAGAGTTTCATAAAGTGGGATTATAAATCAAAGGGTATGTATAATTTTTAATTTTAATAGAACTTGACTGATTGCTTGTAAAAGGTCGGTAATATTTCATATTTTATTTGTTCAGTAAATATTTATTAAGCTCCTACACAATGCCAAGCACTGTTTTAGCAATTAGAATTCAACAAAGGTCCCAGACCTCCTGGAGGTTTCATGGAGTGGGAAGAACATGAAATGACAATAACTTTAATAAATACTTTTGTACCAGAAATGTAGGAAAACACAATTATCCCCTGCTTTACTATCAACAATTGGTATTATTATTCTTTTCATTTTTCCCCAGTTTATTCCTGTAATTTGATATTTTATTATCTTAATTTTCATTTTCCCCATCAGTAAGTAATTTTAACATTTTTTTCCATGTCTATTTAGCTGTTTGGATTTGTGTTGGGTGAATTGCCTATTTATAATCGTGTATTTTTCTATTGAGTGGGTTGTATGCTAGACCCATACTTCTTGTCAATGTTCATGAGCTCTGTGTATACTGTAAATATACATTTATCCGCTGTGTGCTTTGCAAACCTTTCCCCCAATCTATTGCTTATCTGCTGACTTCATGATGGTTTACTTTACCATGTAATGCCTTTCATGTTAGTGAATTTATCTTTTTGTTATGACTTCTTTTTGTCCTCTCAGCTTCTGCCTATTCTATCTCTGTCAATTCTTATCTTCAAACTCTGGTTCATATGAAATGTTTTCTAAATTTTCTTCCAAATAATTTTATTTGTTATGTTCTTCTTTAATACACCTGCAATTTATCTTTTGATGTGGGGTTTAAGGTAGGGGTCCAATTGTACTTTTCTAGGTAGATAGCCAATGTCCCAATACCATTTATTAAAGTAAACCCTCAATTCTCCACTGAATTAAAGTGCCACCGTTTACAGTTCCCGTATGTACTGGAATCTGTTTGCATCTTATTGTTCTGCTCTGCTGAGTATCTGTCTATTCCTATTCCAATTTCATGCTGTTTTGATTAGTCTTCTTTTTCATCATTTTAAAACTTAGGTTTAAAAATTACAGTTTTTATCCAATTAAAAACTATGATGTTATTAATTTATATTAGGAATAAGAAAGATGCCATAATCACAAAACAAAACAGATTGAAATAATTATAAGACAATACTATGTAGAAGTTTTGGAAACAAATTGGAAAATGTGGAGGAAATCAAATATCTTCTATAAATCACATAAGTCATCCAAATAGTGCAAGGAGGGGAGAAATGGAAACAGATAAAATCAGGGTGTGTCTGAACAGATAAATTTCTGAAGAAGAAATTTAAAAAGTATTTAATGGCCTACTATTTAACAGGGCCCGAGAAACAGATGACTTATCGGCTAAGTTCTATCTAGCCTTTTAAGAACAGATAGTCCCAATGTTATTATTACTATTCAAAACCAAAGGCAAAAAGACAGAAGGCTCCTTAGTATATGTTATGAAGCTGTGAAGCCAGCATCATCTTAATGGCCAACACCTCATAGACAAATCCCACTTGGGAATATAGATTCTCATTTGAAATAAAATATTTGCAAAAACTATCCATCCATGTGTCAAAACCACTAATGTACAGTAACCAACAGCTTCTACTCCAAAATACAAGGATGCTTTGATAACAGAAAATTTATCAACATAATTCATTACATCAACAAATTTTAAAAAGACTGCCATATTAATAGACACTAAGTAGACACCTGATAAAATTTAGTAGCTATTCCTAATATAAACCCGTGATCCCTTATCCAAAATTCTGATACCCCAGTAGCTCTGAAAACTAAAATGTTGACCTGTAACTTCGCACCATATTTCGCCTGGTGTTAAAGTTGATCTGAACTGACACAAAGTAACTACTTAAATACAGAAAGTGTTATTTTTTTTTTTTACAAATGTACAGTATTATATGTTCTGTAGGCAAAGCACACTCAGAAATAGTATGGATTATTTGTGTCTCTCTGTTCTATATTCAAAATTATTATAGTCTTTTCTTTTTTTAAGTTGAGTTTAAGGAGAAATACTATGAGGCATGTACTAGTACCTTTAACTCTCCGGAAAAACAGCAACACATTACCATGTTTCATTGAATCTAAGACACCATTACTTAGAAGGCTAGCAGTTATTTTATGTATCGCCGAAAGAGAAAAAAATATGCTGCTAATTATAATATGAGCCATCATCAATTGTAAAACATACTCTATTTTCAGAGATACTGAAATATAAAAAAGGTGTATCTCAGAATCTATGAAATATGGTGCAGACACCCAAAGGCAATCAGGAGTCGACCAGGGACCACACGGCTGGTCAGGACTCACGGTCCCTTCCTCTCTCGATGTCCGGGTCTTGGGGAGGACCCAGGTGTGAGGCTGAGTGTGGTGGTTTGGGGTCAGCCAGGCTTCAGAGTTGCTCTATATTGATTAATTGTTTTGATCATGAAATAGCTATTTAATGCCTCAAAACACAGTCCCGGCTGGGATCGTGCTGGGATGGTACTAACACCTGCTTACACTTATTTAGAGAGTTGAAAGTGGGATATGAGATAGGGCTTGTGACATTCCTGGTCCAGAGTAAGCCCTCCCTAAATAGCAGCCCCTGGAATGAGGGTGGTGGTGAGAGTGGCCAGAATCTAGGCAGTGATGGCGAACCTTTTGAGCTCGGCGTGTCAGCATTTTGAAAAACCCTAACTTAACTCTGGTGCCGTGTCACATATAGAAATTTTTTGATATTTGCAACCATAGTAAAACAAAGATTTATTTTTTTGATATTTGTTTTATATATTTAAATGCCATTTAACAAAGAAAAATCAACCAAAAAAATGAGTTCGCGTGTCACCTCTGACACGCGTGTCATAGGTTTGCCATCACTGACTAGGGTGTTTCCCACACCTGTCATCCTGTGATTCCCCGATATTCCTGGGGAAGCTGCAATTGGCCTTAGACGCCTGTGCTATCTGTGTGCCCTAAATTTATGAAGTCTGACCTGAGTACCTGAGTTGGCAAGGACCTGACACGCCCTAATGGGTCGCGAGAGGAAGTGTGACTTTCCCGGGTGATGCAGGCAGTGGCAGATGACAACTCAGACCCAGACCACTGGACACATTGGTCAGACTCTTTCCAGATGCCAAGACTCCTGTCCCGGGAGGTGGGATGAGGGATGGAGTCCAGTCTAGGAGTTTATAATCTCTTTCCTAGGTCCAGTCATTTCTCCTCTCTGGGCCACTTCTCCCTGCTCTGGGAAAAAAAGATGGATGCAAGCGTAACCCACCAACCCCATTCTAACTTCGGGTCTGACTTTGACCTTCACCGAACCCCACTTCCACCCCACCTCTCTAATTGGCCACCGGGAAGGAGTTTAGGGGAGCTCTTCCGTTCGGAGGCTCTGAAGACCTGCTCACAGCACCCATCTGCTGTGTGTTCTCTGACAGGATGGGAGTGGTGAGCAGCAAAAAGCAGGTCAAGGAGAAGAGTAAGGGCCAGTGGAGCCCTGTGAAGGTCAGCGCCCACAGCAGAGAGCCCCCACCACTGCCACCCCTGGTGAGTGATCGCTTCTCCCAGCTGGAGAGGGAGGGGGAGGGGGGAGCACAGAGCACGTGTGGCTCCCTGGGGGCTGCTCCTAGTCTCCAGCAAGTCCCAGTGCCTTCTCTTGATAACTCAGGGCTCCCACAAATCAGCCCCCCCCCCCCGCCACGCCAGTGCCACCCGAGCTCATATTGGTGTTACAGATCATAAAATATTTAACCGCCAGATTGCTGGAATTTAAATCTATTAGCTGTGCCTTTGAAGCAGGTTTCTTAACTCCCTTTAGCCTCAGTTTCCCCACCTGTAAAGTGGGTAGAATAAAAGTGCCTTTCTGATGGGGCTGTAACAATACGCCATGTAGATACAAGTATGCAGTGCTATAATGTATTACCTTTAGCACAGACCTGTACGTGGTTCGCCCCAATAATTCTTAACCAGTTTTCATTGGGCAAGGGCAGCCTTGAAGAGAAAGGAAAATCAAAGAGGTCAGCTGAGGAAAGGGTGGAGGGGGCGGGGAGTCTAGGGCATTTAGCAATATCTGCTGCCCTCAACTCTATCCAGAAGCTCCTGGATCATTGTCCCCTTCCTGGTGTGCCAGCATTCCAAAGAGCTCAGTCCCCTGGGACAAGGCAACCTAAGAGGGGAGGGTGCTTATGCTCACCTCCCACAGGCCCTCGAGTGCTCATGGAGCCTGTCTCAAAGTTCTGGTTTGTTTACAAAGTAGTTAGCTCCCTTTGATGCTACTGGTTCCTAAAGATGCATTTTTAGATGACTGTCTGTGTCCCTCCATCTGGCCACTTACCCCCTTTTGATTTGGGGCAATTGGAAGTCATGCCTGGACTCCTGTTTCCTGCTCTCTCTCCCCGCCTCCCGCCCCCTGCCCCCAGGCACATCCAACTAGTCATCACTTCATCCCAACTGTGACCTAATGGGAGTGGTGACTGCTATTCCCATTTCTTAGATAAACCAGGCATCTTATCGGTGTCCCAACTTAGTGCAGGGCTTGGCATGTAACAATGAAATGTTTGTTGAATAAATGAATGATCAAAGGGCCATAGATTAATTATTGATTTATCCGACTGAGAAAATTACTGAATAGGACTTAGATTCAATAACTTCTTCAGAGTTACATGCTAATAAGTAGTAGAGCCTGGACTGTTTTTAGCTTTTAAAAAGTCACATAATACATATCAATTATGAAAAAAATTTATAAGTACTCATATCCCACTAGCCAGTGATACCGGAGTTAGCATTGCAGAGGTCCTGCCTCCAGACCCTTTTCTTTTTTTAATTCTTTATTGTTTAGAGTATTACATACGTCTCCTCCCCCCCCCCCCACATTGAACTCTCCCCAGCCGTTCCAACCCCCCAGCACATGCCCTCACCCCAGACTCCTTTCTTGTGCGTTATTTATGTGCTTTTATTTTCAGTGGAACCATAATACTATACATACCATTTTGCAAATTGCTGCTTCAAATTTGTGTTTAATAAATACCAAAAAAAAAAGATTATTGATTACAGGTTGAAAGCAGGAGAATAAAACGAACACTTAGTGCAGCCCCTCCCATCCTCAGAATTAGAAAGTGACCCATCGCTCGGAGGCCTCTGCTGTCCCCCAGTCTGTCCCGCTCACCCCAGGCCCCACTATTCTGATGTGCTTACTCCTTAGCTTTGCTTCTTCTGTAGCATCCTATAGGCATATGTTCCTAAACACTATTTAATTTAATTTTGCATGTTGTGAATTTTAAATCAAATGAGTCCAACAGTGTGGATTCTTCTGAGACGTGGGTTTCAGATCTGTGTTTTTCATTGGGAGCATCATCCATGTGGATGCATGTAGCTATAGCTCCTTAGCTGCCACCGCTGTGTAGGAGTGATTGCATGCATATGCCCCAATTTATCTATTCTTTAGTCATTTGGTCATGTAATTATTATTATTATTATTATTATTATTATTATTATGTGTTTCTGCTGGGAGCAATGTTGCACATGTTTCCTAGTGCACATATGTAAAAGTTTCTCTACAGGGTATATACGTAGGAATATACTAGTTAAGTTTCAAGGAAATACATTTTTAAAAATGTATTTTTATTGATATCAGAGAGAAAGGGAGATGGAGAGATAGAAACATCAATGATGAGAGAGATAAATTTTAAAAATAATTTTTCTTAAGAAAATTCATCATTTAATGGCAGAGGCAGGATTTTAAGCCACATCCATTCCACAGCTGCCTCTTGCAAAGTTGGGCATCCCTACATACCGCTCTTGCAAAGTTGGGCATCCCTACATACCGCTCCTCTAAATGTATATATAAGGTCCGGGCCAAGATGGCAGGTGATCCGGGGCTTATTCGAGATGGCACTGGTACCTGTGCAAACTCCTGTGCCAACAGGGCAGCTCCCACACTCACAGCAGCCTCACCCACCGCCCTGCAGGCCCTGCCCAGCCACGGGCCTTGAACTAACGCAGAGGGCATGTGTTTCTGCTCCAGGTCCTGTTTAACCACCTGGCTCCTGCACCTCACGACACACACCCGGATCAAGGTAAGAAGGGGCTGCTTTGGAAGCTGAGGCTCCTCAGGCCTCCTCCCCAGGCCCTGGATTTATGCAGTTAGAACAGGGGCTCAGTCGGGACAGCTTTCTGGAGAGGAAGTGCCTGGGCCCCTAGAGTCTTAGGGGAGACGGCTAGGGGAGGCTGAGGGAGGAGCCTGTGGCCCAGCTCTGACCCAGCCTCGCCTGCCCTTGGGGGCCTCTCCGGCAGCCAGGCACTGGTTCCTTTAATGTACCTCGGTGGGCGTTTGTAAAGGACTTTACAAACTACAGGTGAGCACAACAAGACAAGAGTTACAGTGAACACAAACAGCACCACGAAACCCAGGCTTTCAAAGATCTAACTCCCAACCTCAGAGGGTGAGGACCATGGTTCTGAGTCCTCCCTCCCAGCCCTCAGTCTGTTGCTGTTTGAATTACCACCCTGTTCCTCACTTTCAAAAGTCCCCTGCTGACCTTCTAACCCAGGGGTGGGCAAACTTTTTGACTCGAGGGCCACAATGGGTTCTTAAACTGGACCGGAGGGCCGGAACAAAAGCATGGATGGAGTGTTTGTGTGAACTAATATAAATTCAAAGTAAACATCATTACATAAAAGGGTACGGTCTTTTTTTTTTTTTAGTTTTATTCATTTCAAACGGGCCGGATCCGGCCCGCGGGCCGTAGTTTGCCCACGGCTATTCTAACTACTCACTACACCCTCCCTCGCCCATCTCCACTTGCACTTGGGTGGGCAGGACTACAGAGGTGACATAGCAAATCACCTCGAGGGCCTTCCTGAGTCAGGGGCTCAGACCTCAGGAGGGTCTCACTCTGAAGTGGCGTATGTCCGGGAGAGCAGAATGCCGGCCTGGGCCTACGCCATTCATTCACTCACTCACACAGAAGGCACTGAGCAAACAGGACCCAGAGCTGGCTCTGTCCAAGGACTGGGGAAGCTGTATAAGACGTGGCTCCTCTCTGCAAGAACTCAGCGTCTGTCAGACTCATGAGCCAGGTGTTGGAGCCGGGGTAGTGACCTCACCTGGTGTCCCTCATCCTGTTGGGGATCACAATTAATTAGCATCACAGGGCCACCCTCCGCTTCCTGCCAGAGGGGTCAAATTTCCAGGAAGAAAGTCTAGGTCAGCGGTTCTCAACCTGTGGGTCGCGACCCCTTTGGCGATCGAACGACCCTTTCACAGGGGTCGCCTAAGACCATCCTGCATATCAGATATTTACATGACGATTCATAACAGTGGCAACATTACAGTGATAAAGTAGCAACAAAAATCATTTTATGGTTGGGTCACAACATGAGGAACTGTATTTAAAGGGCCAGAAGGTTGAGAACCACTGGTCTAGGTGAAGGAAATAAACTGATTTTGGTACAGGAATTTGAATCTCAGAACCAGAGGGGCCTCTGTCATCTTCTCCAAACCCCTCTTCCCAGCATGGGAAGGTGACCAGCCCAAGGTCACGCCAAGCATTAGAGACATCACTCTCGGGGAAGCTGGGTGGTCTCCAGGTGACCTTTTCCAGGTGAGCCTTGGCTCCTCACAGCTGTGCAGAAAAGCCCTCATCAGTTGAGAGATGCCATGCAAGCTCCGGAGCCCTCTCTCCACCTCCGTCCTAGGGACCACCAGCAAGCAGGGGGCTGCCAGCCAGAAGCACCATGATGGGACCTGGGCATGGCTGCAGGTCCATGTTCCAAGACCACTGCTCCCCTTGGAGCAGAGGCTGGAAGGGACAGGTGGGGACGGGAAGAGAGGAGAAGCTCACATGCCTCCAGGAGGTAAGGGATCAGCCAACACTGGTTTCCAGACTTGGGTCTTTGGCCATCAGGTCCACGCTGCTGATCTCCCTAAACACTGGGCTACCGAGTCCCTTACACACTAGCCCCGTCTAGGCCTGAGGGGGTCCAGAAAGGAAGTCACGATGGGCTCAGAGGGGCAGTATGCCCTTGTTCCCAGCAGCAAGCTCAGGAGGCCAGTCTGCCAGACAGAAACGTCTTCCGCATCAGTGAGTGAGAAGGCTCACCATGGCTTCCCCTCTATCCTTACCTTTTCCTGACCCTCTTAGTAGCCAGAAGGTGCTCACAGCACAGGCTTATGCCGTGGGCCTGAGCGGTGGCCATGTCTTCCTTGTTCCCCCTAGAAGAGCATTTCGTGGTGGCGCTGTATGACTACGTGGCAGTGAATGACCGTGACCTGCAGATGCTGAAAGGGGAGAAGCTGCAGATCCTAAAAGAGTAAGTTTCCAGGATGCTGTCTCGTGGTCAGAGGCCTCTGCAGCTCCTTATCAGAGCAGGACTCCCACCCATCCGCCCATCTGCCTTATTCCACCCCACCATGTTCTCTTTAGCTGCCTCCAGAATATTTTCTCCACTGCCCAGCCCCAAGCCCAGGTATCCAGCATCTTCTTTAACTTGACCCAACTGTCTTTCTTCCATCTGCCTTTCCAAAGTCTTGCTGGTGAGGGGGTTTCCTGCTCCGCTGTCAAAATCCTACTCTTCCTTCAAAGCCCACCTCTAATGCCACCTCCTCCTGACTCCCACAGTGTTCACCTAGTCGCTCCATCAGAGCTTTGTGTTGGAGTCAGTTGTGTCAATATTTGTCTCGCACGGGATTCTACTTATGAAATCGGCTGTGGTTTGTTCCCACTGTTCCTTCTCAGAGACTCCTCCAGAATCTGGTCTCAAACATCTGATTGTCCTGAGGGCCTGCTTTGTTCTTGAGTTCTGCAATGACCTTGAACTAGCAGCATGCAAACCTTGACCTTTTGGCCATCCCTGGGCCGCCCGTTCCTCCTGTCACCAGCAGCCCTCCTGTGTTGTCTTTCCTGTCCAGTCCCAACTCGCTCACTATGTTCTAAAGACGTCCATTAATCAAGAGGAAGGCTACTCACTGTGAGACAGGGGCCCTGGGGGGTTGGTCAGGCTGTCTAGACCAACTGTCCCCTGGAGGCTGTGCATCCCCCCTCTCCCCTGGGCCAGGAGCACCGTGAGTTTGAAATAGCCCAGGTAGTTCCACGTCACTGAGCAGCTTGCACGAGCTCCCTCTCATCTGCCAGGCTGTCTGCCTCTGGGTCCTCTGCCTCGCAGGGATGAGACCCAGTCCTGGGGGGCTGTGAGCTGCCGCAGAGAGGCACCCGTCTGAGCCACTCTCTCATTTTTGTTGTTTCCTTCTTCCCTTAGGTCTGGAGACTGGTGGTTGGCCAAGTCTCTCATCACGGGAAGAGAAGGCTACGTGCCCAGCAACTTTGTGGCCCGAGTAGAGACCCTGGAAGTGGAAAAGTAGGTGGACAGACGGAAGGCCCTTCAAAGCAGAGGCATGTCCCCTGCTTCTGCCGCACAGGGTGTGGCCAGACAGTGGCTAAAAAGTGAGCCTGTGTGAGCCCAGCAGGAGGGAACAGGAAAGGGACAGGGAGCTGGAAGTCCTGGAACAGGCTTGACGATGTTTCAATTGCTGCGTGATCCTGAAGAGTCGCTCCTCTGTGAGCACCTCACACCCCCATTTGAGAACCGACCTTTCCTGGCTCACCTGGACTGAAACGTCCCCGTGTCCCATGGCCTTGCAGGCTAACAAGGAGGTGCTGGATCAGCTCACACTCCCCAGTGCCTCCAGGGGCTGGGGCCTGGGGGACTCCCAGGGTGGTGGCTCATTCAGACTTGGATTATCAAGGAGCAGCATCCTCATGAGCCCCTGGAAGGTCGGCTGTGGGCCTCAGCCATTCATTCACTCACACAGAGGGCATTGAGCAAACAGGACCCAGGGCCCGGCTCTGTCCAGGGACTGGGGAAGCTATAAAATGAGTAACACGTGGCTCCTCGTGTCAAACTCAGGAGCAAAGTGTAGGAAGCAGGTTAGTGGTCCCACCTGGTGTCCCTCGTGCAGCGATGGTAGGTAGCCCTTGGGAGGGTTCCTTGTCTGGCACTCCCGGCCCTGGCCCGGCCCGGGAACAGCATGCACTCCCACGCTGACCAGTCCCTGCGCAGGGGGCCATGGTGGGAATCAGGCTCTGAGAATCTACTTCAGAGACCATCTGCAAGGAGAGTGTGCTCTGAGAGTAGGCGGCTGGGCGCCTTTTCCCCGAGTGAAGTTAACAAAGGGCACCCATATAATGGTTTTGTTTCACTTTGAGAAAACAGTAAGTCCAGGAGTGGGAAGAAAGGGGAGGGCGACACCAAGGGGCATTCGTGGATCAAGCTGGGAGGAGCGCTGGCTCAGGGTGGACCTAGGAACAGGGACACAAATTTTATTTCTTGGGGGCAGAGGCACAGCTTAGGAGGGAGGTTTGGAGAAGAATGATCTGAGAAGCGTGGCCACTCTCTGAGGCTCGCCTGCCTTTGACCTTTTCCAGGTGGTTCTTTAAATCAATTAGCCGGAAAGATGCCGAGAGGCAGCTTCTGGCTCCAATCAACAAGGTGGGCTCCTTTCTCATCAGAGAGAGCGAAACCAACAAAGGTAAGCGTGGGCAGAGCCCTTCCCTCCCTGTGTGCTCTGGGCGGCCCCCATCTGAGGCCTGGCTGCTGCCAGGGCAATGCCAGCCAGGAGAACCTGGCAGCCCCCAGGCCCCAGGCTCCCCAGTTCAGGCTGGATTTGGTTCCCTGTGCTTGGCACGTTGAGAATGGACAGAGGTTTGGCATTCAATTACACACACACACACACACACACACACACACACACAGCTCCATTCATGGCCTTAGATCTGCAGTGAGTGGAAACACCAGAGCAGCAGACGCTGGACACAGAGAGCTGCTTATCCACTGTGAGGCTCAGGGGAGAGCCCTCAACCTCATGCCCCTCAAAGGGTCAGGGCTGGATTGGAGGAGAAGGGGTGCATTGATAAGTTGGGGTGCTCTGTGCAGACTTCTCTGTGCAGAATTTCCTGTAGTGCACCAATGGATGCATTTAATTATACACACACACACACACACACACACACACACAGGGTGGGGCAAATGTAGGTTTACAGTTTTTCATATGGAAAATAACTAATAAATAATAATACAAGAATAAAACCTGTTTCACGTACTCACAACTACAAACCTACGTTTGACCCACCTGGTATGTATGTTGCCACTATTCCATTTTAATGGCAGAGCACCTATGTCCAAGAATGAAACCTATGTGTTTTACTCCTTTTGTAGACTATTTTAAACACATACAGAAGTAGAGAGACTAGTATAATGGAACCCCTTATACCCAGCTCAGCCCGTCTTGTTTCATGCATATCCCCACCCACACCTATTATATTGAAGCAAATCCCAGATATGTCATTTCACCCTGGAAGGGATGTTTTTCTCATTGCCTGTGGTTAAGGTGCCCTCCTCCCTACCTCGTTGTAGAGGAGGAAGGGGTTCTCTAAGGGTGGGGACCTCCTCCTTGCCCACTGTGGGAAGCTAGTCCCAGATGGGCACTGGCCAGATGGAGCTGGGCTGCAGGATTATCCAAGCATCGTCACCCCCCACACATACACCTATTCATGCGCACACACACTCACGCACACGCAACCCCTCAGAACTCCAACGCAAGATCCCTCTGTCTACATCTGTCCACAGTGGCTGTAAGACAGGGTAGAAACTCAGAAGCAAGGAGACAGAGTCCTAGCTCCCTGTGGCTTCCAGGTGTCCCTAAGCATCTCTAGCCTCAGTTTATCGGTATGCGTGTGAGCACCCCTTAGTCCAAGAGCAGGTGGTCTTTGGGGGTTAAGAAATCTCCGTCTCTGGGAGCCCAGTCTGCGTGCCCAGCGCAGCCCAGACAGAGGCAGGAAAGGGGGTCTGGGTTTTGAAGCAGGAGGTACAGATTTTGTGAACCTGAAGCTGATAGGATTTGGGGGTTCCTTTAAGAAGAATACCAAATTGTAAAAAGATAATAGCAGATCCTTGGATGAGCCTGAGCAAGTGAGGGACCCTAAGTCGTGAACTTGGGCAGTGGTTCTGGCTGGAAGAGAGCAGGTCTCCTGGGCTCATCGTGAGTTTGTGCACGCAGGGTGCAGCCGAGGAAATGGGAGGAAGCCCTTTGTCTTGCTCCGGTGGTGTGAACTCATTAGAGACACTCTCCAATTCCTTAAATTCTGGGGCATAGTTGCACCTACTAGGCGCAAGGTGGGAAAGACAGTTTGCAACCTGCGGTTGGGGCTGGGGTTGCAGGCATGGTGTGGGCTGTGGCCGGAGCAAGGCGCCTGATGCGACACCCACCCTCTTCGGGGTCCTTTTGCAAGTAGGTGATGAGAGAGGCACGATGGTTAAGGGAGATGGGAGGAGAGAAAGAGTTTGAGATAGAGTGATGGTCTGAAAGGAAAGGAAATGCCTGCTGACAGTGCAGCCAAAAATCAAGCGTCACGTCCAGAAAAAGAGGTGTTCAAGCCTGACACCTGGTGGGAGGGAGTGGTACTGCTCGCGGCAGGCAAGTCCTTAGGAAGGACTCCAGGGCTCCCAAGCCTGCTGCTTAACTAGCAGAGTGACCAGGGCCAAGAGACATCCCCCTTTGGGCCTCGGCTTTCTCACCTCCCAGTTAGAGTAGGGGCGTGGTACCCAGAGAGGCGGTCAGAGGCATTTTTATGAAAACATCAAGTTAATGGGAAGAAGTTTCTCAACTGGAAACTCTTGCCTCCTTAACTTACTCTTAACCCCTGGCATCGGCTAGGCGTTGTCTGCAGGCAAACATTAACATAGATGACAAATCACACTGACGTGTGAGTGGATGTGAACAGAACCCCTGGGAAACAGCTGGTCATGCTCTCCTCCCTGGACAGGGGTGCTTGAGGTTGAGATTTGGTGTTGCATGGGTGAGTAGAGTCAGCCTTATCAGCCAGAATGCATCAATCTATCAGTCAACCTTTAGTCCCTTCAACAGCTCTACATTCTCAATATTCCATGGCAAAGGGTCCTCGAGTGACCAGATGCCGGTCCTGCTTCCTAAGAGAATGTCCTCCCTGCTCCAGAGTTCTTGGTGCCCTGGCTGAGTTGGGGAAACTCTGGCAGGAACATCTAGAACAGAGTCGGATGGAGCTGATAGGGCAGGCTTCCAGGAGACCTGAGGTTGAGATGAAGGAAAAGGCAGCCCAGGATGGAAGTGGTCAAAATGGAGAGCAGAATGCAGGGAGCTTTTCCCCAAGGCATTGAAATGAAGCCCGCATCCTAATCCAATTCTCCCTCTTTATGCCTCACTTCTCATGCCTGTGTGTTTATTAACCCTCCAGGTGCCTTTTCCCTGTCTGTGAAGGACGTGACCACCCAGGGGGAGGTGATCAAACACTATAAGATCCGCTCCCTGGATGAAGGGGGCTATTACGTCTCCCCCCGAATCACCTTCCCCACACTCCAGGCCTTGGTGCAGCACTACTCTAGTAAGACGGGGCATGTGATGGGGGTGGAGACCTGAGCCGGGAAGCCCTTGTATCTCTTTATTGCTAAGATCTCGAGATTGAGAATCATTGGTGCTGTCTTGGAGTTGACACTGTCAACATAGTGATTTAAAGTCTGTGTACTTAATCCCGTCTACTGGATCAGCATTCAACAACCTAGAGTGGAACAAATATTTTCATCTTAGAGAGAGCAGGTTGATGCTAGCATGCCTTGCTTTATACCAGTGATGGTGAACCTTTTGAGCTCAGCGTATCAGCATTTTGAAAAACCTTAACTTAACTCTGGTGCCATGTCACATATAGAAATTTTTTGATATTTGCAACCATAGTAAAACAAAGATTTATATTTTTGATATTTATTTTATATATTTAAATGCCATTTAACAAAGAAAAATCAACCCCAAAAATGAGTTCGCGTGTCACCTCTGACATGCGTGTCAGAGGTTCACC